AGACATCGTAGGGTTTGTACCCGAACTGCCTATGCCGAAGAGGCGACTAGGACTTGTCTGCCTATGCCGAAGAGGCGACTAGGACTTATCTGCCTATGCCAAGGAGGCGACTAGGACTTATCGTAGTGCCGAGGTCTTTTGTCAGCTCGACATCATGGCCATTGGGCTTCTAGGAGTGACTCGCAGTCCTCTCTCTAGTTTGGTGGTCATGAGTAGTACCTTCTTAGGTTGTCGATGTTCCACACTCGAGGTACTTGCTTCCCTTCCAAAATCTCGAGCTTGTACGTACCTTCCCCATTCACCCATCTTACTCGGTATGGACCTTCCCAATTCGGGCTCAGGTACCATAACCTTTTGAAGAACTAGGCCACCGACGCGGAAGTATCACTTTCTGACCCGGGCGTTATAGTACCGAGCTACTCTCTGTTGGTAAGCTATAGTCCGGATGTAAGCCATGTCTCATACCTCTTCTACCAGGTCTAGGTTGATACGGAGCTCGTCATCATTCGTCTCCTCGTTATAAGCCTCCAAGCGTAGTGTAGGCACCTCGATTTCTGCTGAGATCACCTCTTCTATGTCGTAAGTGAGGTTGAAAGGAGTCTCATCTGTGGCGGTCTTAATGGTAGTCCGGTAGGCCAAGAGGACACTAGCAGTTCGTCTACCCACAACCCCTTGGCTCGAGCTAAGCGAGCTTTCAGTCCGCGAAGTATTGCTCTGTTAGTGACTTCCGCTTGCCCGTTCGCCTGGGGGTGCGCCACCGAGGTGAAATTTTGTTGAATTCCCATTTCAACACACCAATTCTGAAACTTGATATCCTCGAATTGCTTCCTGTTGTCGGAGATAAGTACCCGAGGTAGCCTGAAGCGACATACTATGTTCTTCCAAAAGAAATTTTGTATGTTGCGAGCTGTGATTGTTGCCAAGAGTTCAGCTTCCACCCACTTCATAAAGTAGTCTACTGCTACGACCAGAAACCTCCTCTGTCCTTCGTTGGCGAGAATGGGCCAAGGATGTCGGTTCCCCATTGCGCGAAGGGCCATGGGATAGTGAGGTATTTTAGATCGGCAGCAGGTCAATGGTGGATGTTGGCGTGTCTTTGATACCTGTCGCACTTCTTTACGAGCTCGAGTGCATCCGCCTTCATCGTGGGCCAGTAATAGCCTTGCCGCAACGCCTTCTATGCGAGAGCCATACCCCTAAGTGTCTGCCGCACAAGCCTTCATGGGTGTCGCGGAGTACGTACTCGGCCTCTGAGGGTCGCAAGCAACGCAAGTAAGGGAGCGTGAAGGACCTTCTGTACAACTGTCCGTCTATAAGGACGTACTTAGCTGATTGGCGCTCTACCCTTCGGGCCGCGTTACGTTCTGCAAGTAGGGTCCCATGAAGCAGGTAATTTACGAGTGGGTCGATCTAGCTCAATTCCGCTTGTGCTACAGGAGCGACCTCTCCTACCCCCTGAGAATGCTAGGCCGAGGTAAGTCCTCTATATACACGGTTCGCATGGTGTTACTGCTTGTGCTCGCTAATCGGGACAAGGTGTCGGCCTTGACATTCTCGGACCTTGAAATCTGTCTGATGGAGTAGAAAATGAAGCCGCGTAGAATCTTTCTAACTTTAGCAAGTAAGCAGCCATAGTGGGGTCGCGGACTTTATACTCACCGGTGACCTGGTTGACCATGAGCTGTGAGTCGCTGCATACGATGAGGTGCTTTGCCTTCATTTTCCCTTGTTAGGGTTAACCCGACGACCAATGCTTCGTATTCTGCTTCATTGTTTGATGCCTCAAACCCGAACTGGAGGGCGTATTCCAACTTCACCTTGCTTGGGTCGTATAGAATCATTCCTGCACCGCTTCCTTGTTGGTTGGACGAGCCGTCAACGTGGAGAATCTAGGGTTCCTCGTCCCATATAGAACTTGCTCTTACTGGGACTGGCGTCGCACTAGTTAAAGCTTCCGTCGTGTGTTCGAGTTCGGCTAGTTCGGGAGTTGCGGTATTGAACGTGCATTCTGCCACAAAATCGGCCAAGGCTTGGGCTTTGATTGTCGTTCGAGGTTCATACCGGATGTTGTACTCACTTAGTTCGATAGCCCACTTCGTCAATCTGCTAGACACCTCGAGCTTGAGCAGAATCTGTCTCGGAGGCTTTTTCGTGAGGATGACGATAGTGTGAGCTTGGAAGTATGGGCAAAGCTTGTGACCTGCTATGATTAGTGTGTATGCTAATTTCTCGATCTCCGGGTACCTGGTTTCCGCGTCCTGCAAAACTTTACTAACATAGTAGATGGGTCGTTGGACCCGATCTACTTCTTTGATTAGTACCACCTCGTCACTCGCGGAGAGGTACAGCTTTAATACATCCCCTTCCTCGGGGCGAGTCAAAACCGGGGTGGTACCTAGGTATCTTTTTAGCTCGTCGAAGGCGAACTGACATTCTGTAGTCCATTCGAAGTTCTTACTCTTTTTTATGGCTTTAAAAAAGGGTAGGCAGCGATCTACTGACTTGGACATAAAGCGGCTCAGGGCGGCTATTCGGCCAGTCAGCCTCTGAACCTCTTTTATTTGGTGGGGTGGTCTCATATCTAGGATGGCCTTTATTTTTTTCAGGTTGGCTTCGATGCCACGTCGGTTGACTATATAGCCTAGAAATTTACCCGAGTGACTCCGAAGACACACTTGTTGGGATTTAATTTCATATTGTATTTTCGCAAAATTTGAAAATCACTTTGTAAATCACCCAACAAAAAATTTGAAAATTGTGTCTTCACGACCATGTCATCAACATAACATTTGATTTTATTGTCGATTAGCGGCTCAAAAGTTTTATTTACAAGGCGTTGAAAGGTTGCCTTGGCATTTTTTAGTTCGAAGGGCATGGCCTTGTAGCAATACAATCCGAACTCAGTTATAAAGGCAGTCTTTTCTTTGTCGGTGGGGTCCATCCTAATCTGGTTGTAACTGGAATAGGTGTCCAGGAAGCTCAGCAACTCATGCCCTGAGGTCGTGTCCACTAGGCGGTCAATCTTGGGTAGCAAGAAGCAATCTTTTGGGCATGCTCTATTTAGGTTGGTGTAATCGACGCACATGCGTCACTTGCCTTTGGCCTTTTTTAACAAAGCTAGGTTAGTGAAGGGATGAGAGATCCATCATATGGATAGCTGAACCCTACAGGTAGGTAGGGCAAATTTTCAAAAATTTCTCTCTCTCCCATATGGGAATTACATTCCCTGTTTTAGAAAACTGCATTTTCAAGGATCAATCTTGAACCTAAACCGGACTAGATCTGAAACCAAAAGGTAGGAGAGGGATGTACATGATACGGAGTAACAGTAACTCCCAACGAAGGTGTTCACGCCCAAGGAAAAAGCCAAAGACTGCTTCCACTGAAAATGACACAACGTAGGGTGGAGCATAATCAAAAGGTGGTTCTTCAGCAAGAACCAAACTCTTCAACAAGAATTCGATGGAGGGTGAGTGAGCACAACTTCATATCATTTTTTCACCAAAAACTGACAAGAACACTTCTTGATCGCTCCTACAGGTGAAGAACGAACTGGCTATGGCAGCAGCAATAGAGGGAGGCAAGAGCAGAAGATGGCGTCAGTCTTACTAGAGCTATCTTCTCTCTTGAATCTGTAATCTTGTAGGATGAATTGGAGTTCGCCCTCCTCCTCTATTTATAGCCTTAAAAAGAGCTTCTCCTAATCCCATTAGGAGTTTCCTAATCCAAATCTCATTTGGATTTGGACTCTCTTTAAGAGATAAGGATAAACCCTTATCTTATCTGCAAATAAAGATCATCCCTCCTAATCTTATTAGGAGTTTCCTAATCCAAATCTTTATTTGGATATGGACTCTCTGAGTGGATAGGGATAACTCCCTATCATATCTGTTGATCTAAATCCCAGAACCGCCCCTTCTTTAAATAATCAAATTATACTAGTTCGAATTGGGCTTTAGGCCCATTAAGTCCATATGCTCACTTTTCTTCCAAACTGCTGCCCAGTTGGGTATCCGTGTATGACATGGGACCCAAACATTGATCTACACATCAGCCACGTGGGTTCAACCCAGCCTCTGTTACAAGGCCTAGCCAAATTCACTGTAGGAGACAGTAAACCCCTGAGTCCATCACCATGGGCTCTTAATGGGCCCAACACTTACACTAAGTGGTCCCTGGGTCAAGCCACTTTATAAAAACTCAATGACTGTGGGCAGATGCAAGATTAGCCCATCAGGTATTACCCTCAATGGTTTTACATTTAACCTCTCTGCCCATAATGATCAAACACTACTCGATAAGAGAGGACCTCTCCCTCAGCTGTCGGCAGTTTAGGTTTCCATCAGAGAGAGTGCATCCCCGATCATTCACTTTGTCCGACAAAGGGGCTGATCCTATCACTATGATCACCCACTCAGATGAATTCTCGGACTGTCCCAACATACCCAGGTTTTGACCCCCTCTAAGGATCTCACTAATTGGCATATCAAAGATTGTCCAATCCGATACCTAGTGTAGTATCATAATCGAGTCTAGAACCAATCTTCACAACGGGCGGGGATCATATTCCCCGCCCCCGTCCCTCATTTCCATCGGGGATAAAATTTGTCCTCCATCCCCAATCCTTGACGGGGACCCGAATCCCCAAAAGTTTTTTAAATAACAGTATTTATTTGAAAAAATACTTAAAATAAATAAAAATTTTAAATTATAAATAATTTTTTAAATATGTTTTGATATAATATATATATATATATATACATAATATATACATATATATATATATTATAATATATATACATAATATATACATATATAATAATATATATATATATTATAATACACAATTTTGATGTATATATATAATATATACATAATCGGGTCGGGGGACCTCAATCCATCGGGGATTATTAATCCCCGTCCCCGTCTCCGACCCGCCAAAACAATCCCCATGCCCGGCTTTACACAGTCTATAACAGTCTATAACAGGTAGGGTAATATCGGTTCGAGGTTAGTTCCGAGTAAAATCGACCCATTTGCTCACCCTACTGGAATCTCTTCAACACTCTCGAGTCGAGGCCAGGTTGAAACGAACGAACAAAAGTCTGTATTTGTCGGCGCGAACCCCAAAGTTTTTCGTTCGGATCGATATGTCAGTGGAATAGGCAACTATTTCCCGATCGAAGAAGAAGAATGAAACAATTAGAAAGAAGAAAGATCTTAATTTAATCCAATCATACTTCAGTAAGTTCTCTCTACAACATTCTCCTCTTGTATAGCTTCTACATGTGCACAGACGGTAAAGGAAAAGCTCCCCCCTTCGAAGTTTTTAGATGCTTCCCTCTTCATCACCTTGTTTTGTTGTTTGAGTAATTTAGGAATGTGTAACTCAGAATTTATGTGAATCTGACAAATAATAGTGGAAATGTTATATACAGTGAAGGTATTGTTTCAAAGTAACAAGATTTTGGAGCCTAGAACTGATTTTGAAATTTTTAATACCCTCCGTTTTTAGGGATTTCACTTTAAACTTTAATTTTTGTTTGTAGGGGTTTTACTTGAATTATGAATTTCGGAAAATTTAATACTCTAAAATTTTAGGGTGTTTTCTTGAATTTCGATTTGTCCTGCTGTCAATTGGGAGAAGATTGATTATGGTGATGTCTATAAAACTTAATCTTGTTTATCAGTTTAAATGCTCATCAATTTATACTATTTGTGCTCCATTGATATGCAGAAATGTCTGCAGGCCCAAATCAAGAATCATCTCCGTCTTGTGGTGGTAGAGAAGATGGTCTTTTTGATAATTTTCCGGGTTTGGACATTGAAAAGGACCTGGCTGAGGATACCTCAGTGACAGAAGATTCATGTGGGAAGGAGTTCACATCATCTAACATGGACGTAAATCTAGAGCCATATGTTGGAAAGGAGTTTAAATCTGAACAGGCAGCCAGGGAATTCTATAACGCATATGCCAGATATATGGGGTTTAGTATCCGAAAGGGTGCTATTTATCGATCAGCACGGCAACAAGCTGTTACGTCTCGCATATTTGTGTGTTCGAAAGAGGGATTTAGACCTGAATCCTCTGATGTAAATGAGAAAGGGAATATAAAACGCCGGATGGCAATCACAAGGGTTGGTTGTAAGGCACAGCTATGGGTGAAGAGACAACCATCTGGTATGTGGGTGGTGAAACAGTTTCAACGGGAACATAATCATGAACTGACTCCGATGAAAGTGCATATCCTTCGGTCCCATAAGAATATATTTAGGAATCTTAAAGAATATGTTGAAACTCTAAAAGGTGCTGGAGTAGATGCTAGCCAGATCCAGAGGTTGCTTCTGGAAGAAGCTCGTGGAATGGGCAACCTTGGTGCCAGAGATAATAATGCAGAAAGTGTAAGCTGCCATCTTCCTGTGTTTTTTCCACTTTTTTGTGTAGTTTGCATGTTTGGTTTCTTATTTCTCTTTACACTATGAAGATAAAGAACCGTTGGCCAACATGCATCTAAAAAGTATTTCTTTGTTGAAAGAGATGTATAGGTTGATCAACATAGATTCTTTATGGAAAAGAATATGATACAGGTTCCCGGAAAAAGAAGGATTGACCCCTCGTACGACCTACCCTCCCCTCAATTTTCGGACCGTAACGCCTGAATCGCGGCCTCCAGGTCCTCCAATTTCGGAGTGGATATAGAAAACCGCTCTACAATGTTGTGAAACTGTGTTCATTTATTGTAATAAACAGAAACGGGAATGCAACATTAATAGGAAGTTCTCTCTTTCTATAATGTTGGTGTCTGTTCCTCTGTTTCAAAATGGCATTTAAGAATGCAGTGGCACAATAAGCTCTATCAGAAGTGACCTAAATGATATAGTATTGCAAGCTAAATAGCCTGTATTAGAGGGATGCAGGTTATCAGTAAGATGCTTGTGGAAAATTTATTATATAGAAGAAAGGTCATTGAGGGGCTATGTTGGCACTTAGCTATGATTTTGGTAATAGATAAGGTGGCTGTTGAATTAAGAAAAAGTAACAAGTTAACATGTGAGTACAACCCCATCCCCCATCTACAAAAGTTGACATGGAAGCAGTCAAGGCAATCCGGGATTGTCAGGCATTGGAAGGGTCTTGAGAACTGAGGAGAGCAATATCTTATCACTGTTTTCAGGCCCGATGGGAGTAGGTGATTCTACAAGGACTGAGTTGCTGGCTGCAGTACAAGGAATTCAGATTGCCAACCAACTTGGGGTGGAGAAATTATTGATTGAAGGGGACTCTAAGGTGATTGGCGGTTGGTTGCTGAATCCAAATTCAGTTATTCGGAGCTATAGGGATCTCATAAAAAAGTCAAATGGTTAACAAGACACGACAATTAGAGTCGTCCAATGGGTGGGTTGGTTGGCAGATGCTTTTGCTGACTATCTTGCCAAACAAGGGGTATCTAGGGAAGAGCTATTTTGGGAAGTTTGTAATTTTTTTCTTGCTTTTCTTTGGTTAATTAAATTATCTTTCAATTATCGGGGGGGGGGGGGGGCTTCTGCCTGGCCACATATTGGGATGGTAAACTTACTACTGTATACACAGAATTCTTTTAGTGTATGACCATGGATGACTACCAACACACCTGGATTCTTTTCTTGTGCATTCCATAAAACTGGTATGAATCTGAAGTCTCACTTACCCATATAGACGAAGGGATTGTCCTCTAATTATAGGAAACTGGGGAAGATTGAATAATCTGTTGAAGTTTCATCCTTATATTATCAAAGGTGATAGCTCTACACTCCTTAGAGGTCAACATCTACAAGTTGAGAAGGAAAAAGGATGCATCCCTCTAGAGACATCAAGGAACAGTTTCCTCCCTGATTGTGGGCTTTGTGGGTTGGAAATGCTTTGGATGATTAAGGATGAAGAATGGGGTAGAAAGGCAAGTAGATGGCTTGCTGTCCACCAAAAAATAAGTAAGAAATTAGAAAGAAAAAGAGAGAATTCTTGCTGTTAGGGTAAACAAAAAGATAAATCACATAAAAGAAGAAACATGTGAGAGAGAAGAAAAATGAGAGAAAAGTTCCTGCAAACAACCAGAATTCACTAAAGCAAATTTTATGTATTCAAATAAACTCTTCTAAGTTGCAATTACAACGAGTATTTATAGGCTGAACATAAGAACTCTATGTCAATAGACTCCAATTTGAAGTAGGAAAATGACCCAAAAGTTTCTGCATGCCACATGTCACTGTATACATTAATGTGCCTATGCTTCCATATGGCATTTATATATGCTACCACGTGGTGGGGTGTATAAGTATCGCACATGTGGTTGATGTACACGGTTTAGAAAGTATAGAGTATGTTAGAGGGCCAAAAAACACGAAGTATCAAAAGCTGACTTTGTGCTTTTTGTGTTTTTTGTACTTTTACTATGTTTTCTAAAAGTAAAAAAAAAACACCACAAACAAACGTGTTCTAGTACTTTTCGTACTTTCATACTTCAAAGAAAGAGATCCAACTATTGTCTACTTCCTAATAGATGTGCTCTTTGTAAAGCTGATGGGGATTCTGGCTACCACCTCATGGTCTCTTGTAAGGTTGCTAAAACTGTTTGGGAGTGGGTTTTCTCCCGTTTTGGGTGTTCTTGGTATCCTCCGGAGACTGTCCAATGTTTGTTTTCTCTTTCTTTTTTCAGTTGGACTAAGAAGCGAGGGAAGACTATGTGGAGGTGTATTAGGGCAGCGGTATGCTAGTCTTTGTGGGAAGAAAGAAACTCACGCATTTTTTCTGACAAGGAAAGAACATTGGAAGATTTGTTAGATCAAATCCTTTTAAGAGCTGTCCACTGGCTAAAATCTTTGGAGTTGTTTTCAGATTTTCCTATGGATGACTTGCTAAGAAACTGGAAAGAGATTGCTTCCACTGCTAGATGCAAGAGGACTCTTTGTCCGTTCTGGTCCCCTCCCCCCTCGGGCTTTATAAAGCTGAATTTTG